TTGGTTGCAAATGTTATGTTTTGAATAATGGAAAAGATAATTTAGGACCTTTTGATGCCAAGTCAGATGAAGCAATTTTTATAGGTTATTCTTTGACAAGTAAGGCCTACAGAGTTTTCAACAAACGTACCTTAGTTGTTGAAGAATCTGTACATGTTGTGTTTGATGAAAATAATGCTCGCTTGTCGAGAAGGGTATCTTGTGATGACCTTGAAGGTTCACTTGAGAAAATGAATCTTGAAGAAGGTGAATCTAGTAAGACTAAATCTGAAAAACATGAAGATGTTGAAGAAAAAGTTGAGGACAAAAAGGAAGAGCATATTGCAAATGAGTTACCACCCGAATGGAGAACTTCAAGATATCATCATTTAGACAATGTGATTGGTGAAATCTCAAAAGGGGTAACTACTCGTAGTTCATTACGCAATTTAGTTAATCATATGGCTTTTGTATCTCAAATAGAACCTTCTACCATTGATGATGCCATTAATGATGAATACTGGACTATGGCTATGCATGAGGAGTTGGATCAATTCAAACGTAACGACGTTTGGGAACTTCTGCCTAGGCCACGTAATCATTCAATTATTGGCACCAAATGGGTATTTAGAAACAAACTCGACGAAAATGGTATTATCACTAGAAACAAAGCTAGGCTTGTAGCTAAAGGCTATAATCAACAAGAAGGTATAGACTTTGATGAGACTTATGCCCCTGTAGCGAGATTAGAAGCCATTAGATTACTACTTGCGTATGCCGCTACTATGAATTTTAGATTGTACCAAATGGATGTCAAGAGTGCTTTCTTGAATGGTTTCATTCAAGAAGAAGTGTATGTCGAACAACCTCCGGGATTTGAGGACTTTGAGTATCCAAATCACGTGTTTGTTAGAATAAGTTCCCTTCACTAGAGGGGGGATGAATAGTGAGGCACGAGAATGTTTATAAATTTTCGCGGAATAAAAATCGCAGGGATAAAGTAAAGAGCGGAATAAAAAGGAGTAAAGGGAGCACACCAAGATTTATACTGGTTCACCACAACGTGTGGCTAATCCAGTCTCCCGAGAGACTCTCTCGAGCTACACTACTTCCGTTAAGCTTACGGGTACTTAACAAACCGTTACAACCTGAGAACTCGAGTCCCACGAGCCTCAACAACACTTGCTCGGAGATACCGCACTCCAAGACTTCAACCCGAAGGAAAATACCTTTCCTTCGTACAACCAAGGGAAACAAGCTTCCCTTAACGTGTATACAACACTAAGACACTCAAGAACAAGGCTCTCTTTTAGAGTAGATGTTGAGTAAACTATATACGCTCAAGAACAACTCAAACTTCACACAATTTGGCTCT